TTTTTTTTTTGAGATAGAGTCTCGCTCTTGCTCAGGCTAAGCTCAGGCAGTCCAACCTCCTTGGCCCCCCAAAATGCTGGGATTACTGGTGTGAGCCACCACGCCCGACCAAAAGCATGTGTTCAGTATGTATAACAAATACATATGTAGCATTAGGATAAGAAATCTTAGCAATTGGAACAATCAGCCACCTCCAACCTTTAAAGCTTCAAAAAAGAAGGTTTATTTCTGACATAATAACCAACATGGGCTGGTTGGATGGGGGAAGGATGTGGGAACCTCTGTTCCACGCAGTCATTCAGGGATCAAGTCTATCTGGCTATCAGCAACTCAGAGCATCCTTCCACATGTGGCCTCCTAGCTCCCTACAGACAAGTCTTAGAGAGACGAAGGATCATGCAAGGGAGATTTACATGGTCCAAGCCTAGAGCAGCATTTAACATCTCTGCCAGCATTCTGTCAGCCAGAACTCAGTCACATGGCCCCAAACTAACCGCAAGAGAGCCTGACAAATAGGCAGAAAATAGAATTTATAATATCCCTGGTTTTAACTTTCGTAAAGGCCCACATGCTTAAAGGGACATCTCATTATGTCATAACATAATCTTCTTGGGTCACCTTAATATTGAAACATGTGAGACTCAAGCATTTCTGATAATGGAAGATGAACTCACCATAATGATGTAGCTTTACTGACAAGCGCTGGCCAACTGCTGTTCTTTTTATTCTTCTTTTTATTCCTGTTGTTGCTCTTTCTCCTTATTTGTGAGCTTTTCCTAAGATGAGGGGTAATTTTTAACATCTATAGAAGACATTAAGAAAAGCTTCCATAGGGGTTTGTGTTGTTGAAACTGTATTTAAGTGGTGGTCTGGGAGTATATTGCTAGAGACCACAATGGATTTTTGAGGCAGATAGAGCTTTCTTCATTTCCTTTTATGCTACTTTTGTATATTTTATAGGCTATTGCGATTATGAGCTGCCTGATGTTTGTGCAAAATAAGATCACTTAGGGTATTTTTAGTAGGGTGAGGCCCCCTCAAAATACATAGATAGACAGAATGGATTCCATATTCACCTGAGAATCAATCATGAAGGTTTTAGTGAACCAATGTCTCTCCCAAATTCTGGGAAATTATCAAAGATAATCCATTTGAGGAAACATGATTTGGTTAAAAAATAATAGATTCAAGAGGAATAATGTCCAAGATTCTATTTCAGCTTAATAACAAGTTTGTGGCTTACATCACAAGTCAAGTTATTATCCATCAAATTTTATCATGAGACTTCCTGCATTTTTATAAAAATTTTACAGCCTCTATCTTCATGACTGTCCAGAAGATGTTGTTAACTGTTATTTCCTTTGATAGTTTGATTTTTTTTTTTTGAGACAGAATCTCAAGCTGTCCCCCTGGGTAGAGTGCCCTAACATCACAGCTCACAGCAACCTCCAACTCCTGGGCTCAAGCAAGTCTTCTGCCTCCGCCTCCCAAATAGCTGTGGGGAGCACAGGCCCCCCCCCAACATTGTTGTTTGGCGGGCCCAGGCTGGATTCGAACCCACCACCTTAGGTGTATGTGGCTGGCGCCTTAGCCGCTTGAGCCACAGGCACCAAGCTGATAGTTTGATTTTTGAAGTTCAGCTCTCTTCCAGAGGTTTGAGACGTGTGATAGGGAGAAGGTAAATTTTAGAGGAGTTGTCTATTTCCTGAGGGAAAAATAAAGCAAGTTCTCATGCTTTGGCTTGTTCATTAAAAATACAAAAAAATGAATTTAAAATGTTTGTATTAATTAAGTAAAATCTGATATTTATATAGGGTAAAAGAGGCAACTATACAAAAATGCTTTTGTAAAACCAGGAAGAATTTTAACTTAAAAATGAAAAGAACTTTCAAATGATTTCTTTATGGTTCCAAGAAGCTCCATTTGGGGATTATTTGATTTAGGATTACCGAAGTCACATTTCTAACAAGCCTGGAACATAGTGGGCACTCACACAGTTTTTTTTTTTTTTTTGGGCTGGGGCTGGGTTTGAACCCGCCACCTCCGGTATAAGGAGCTGGCGCCCTATTCCTTTGAGCCACAGGTGCCACCAGACTCACTTAGTTTTTGAATGATCATTATGAATGACCAGGACTCCAGAGGCCTGGGAAAAGGGGATGGCAAATAGTGAGACTCGAGAGTCAGGTCTTCATTGTCAGTGAGAAACGACTGGTGGCCTGAGATTTCCCAGTCCTGTAACCACAGGGAACTTAAGAATCTCTAAAGAGATGTAGAAGAAAAAAGGTTTCTAACATGACGTGGGGCCACGATTCCACTCTCACCTCCCACAAAGAAATCACTAAGAATCTGCCAGAGTTTTTGTGGCTTGGGGAAGGAGGAGGGATTTCTCAGCTGCTTGACCATGGCTCTGAGTTGCAGGAAAAACGTCACA